CGGGCCGCCGGGGACGACGAGGGGGCTGGCGTGCGGCCTCCGGGTGCACGTCGCAGGCCGAAGGAAGCTGGGTGGCCTTGGCTGGTCGGGCCCCGCTTCCCCAGCGGGCCTGTTGGACCCCGCTGCTGCCTGCGGTCCCCTCCCACAGGCGCCTGTTGATGCCCGTCTCCCGTCTGCGCGCTAGGGCTGGTGAATTCTTGGAAAAATGAGCAGTAAAGCCTGGAATATGTGAATACAAAAATGACATAGTTAGCTACTTTTAGTGCAGGATTGTTTTATTGTCTTATGTATTTAGGTGTCTGTGCCTTTAGTTCAAGCAAATGGCGTAGTTCAAGCAAATGGCGTACATGAGTTGGTTGAATTTCACAGCAATGGACTCGTATACCAATAGCGAGCTGCGAAACTGTCTTATTGAGAATTTGTTTTCTTAATAATGTAGTACATTTTCCTATTATTTTGATGTGTGGCAATAGGCCTGGAAGCCGAGGGTAAGTCTCTTGGGTCATTTTAGAACATTTGAAGTCAATCTGCTTCAGTTTGTTTTTCTGGAAAACCGTATGTCTTAGAGCTCCTCTCATCTTTATGCAGAAGCAGTCCCTCCAGAAAATTTCCTGAAAAAGTGTCGCATGGTTATTTGAGAAGCCTTGAGAGTGCCTGGACTTAATTTGCATCGTTCCTGAGGCTCACAAAGGTTTTTGAACTTTGATTCTGGAAATCTATCCATTAACGTGATATTTTTCTACCATTGGCAACCTATTTTCTTGATTTTTTTGTTGCTGAATGTTTTTCTCTAGGTTGTGACTTCTCTGCAACGACAGGATTGTTTTTGGTTGGAAGGATAGCATCTCTTGAGAACTGTGCCTTGTGAGCAGTTTGGCATTGGCAGTAAATGAGGTATGATCTAAATATGCATGAGACAGGAGGGCTTGTAAAGATGATATTGAAATAATAGTACTTGTTAACTTTGCTAGCTCCTTGCTAAATGCAATTGCTTATTCCCTATTCCTGCACTTTATGTTTGCCCAGGGAAAGAGGTCTAAAGTCTGCTGGGAAAATGGGTGACTTCAGAATTGGGAGGAGGTAAAATGATACAGATTGTAGGTCTTAGGGGGAGTGGCTGGGGAATCATTGGTGAGAAACAGACAGTTGAGAGACATTAAACATAACGTTGAATGTACAAAAATACAGGTCATAACCCTTGTCAAGCATGTTGGGCTATCTCAACACCTTCTGGTTTTTTTTTTCCTCTGCTTCTCTTGTCTGTTCTAGGTTCCCAGAAAGGTCTTTGTAGGTAGCTGTTCACTTGGAAGTTAATGAAGAAACAAAACGAAAGCTATTTTTTTGGATTCGAGGTAGGTATGAGTGTGATCATGAGCACCTCTGTTTTTTTTTTTTTTTTTTTTTTTTGTACTCGGAATTGAACTCAGGATCTTGTGCTTGCCAGGCACTTGTGCTGCTGAGCTATATCCCCCAGCCCAGCATGTCTGTTAATTAGGGGTGGGATAACTGTTGGCCACTGGGTAGGACAAGACAATATCTTGGAGCCATTATCTTCCAGTTTTCCAGATGCCTCTGCCTTCTCACTTGTGTATTGTTAACGTGGTAAGAGTAAGCCAACGTGATAAGTAATTCACAGATATAAAGCAAGAAATGCAGAAAGAAGCTATGAGGAATACTAAGCAGATCAGAAAAGTGTTATATTGTAAAACCACAACATATCAATACTGCCTATATTTTTGTCCATAGGTCAGCCTGTGGATCAACTATAGGCCTTAGCAACATTAGAAGTGAGAAAGGAGGAGAAAATTATATCAGATCAGTCCAGGCTGATATGAAGCCTGTCTGGATAGGTTTGGTGTGTACCAGTCTGGACTCAAAGGGACTTGGTGCTCTTTATCCTCTCCCATTTTAGTAAGATTACCTACTGTCCTTGTGTTTGATAGAAAGAAAAGAATGGTAGTACCCGGGTGGGATATGTTGGGAAAGTGCAAGGGATAAAATGAGATAGTTGAGTTTTCTACTAATTGACTTCTAATGTACAAGCTATCTTTACTCACATGTACTTCTATGTGGCTGTCTGCATAAAGAATTAAGTTGGAGGAGACTCAAAACCTATTTCTCTCTTCCACTTCAGGTCTATCTCTATTCGTAGCTGTGCTGACGTTGAATTGGCAGAAACCATCATCTTCGTGCAGCCGGAGTGTGCCTCTGCTCTGGCCCTGTCTTGAGAAAGGTTATGTGTTTAGAAAGGGGACTGTGCGGCCTGCTAAACTGACAAGTGACTCTTACTACCAAGTTTATCTCTGACCCAGTGAAAAAGTATAAAGACACTAACCTGGTACACACTGAGCACCAAGGCCAAGACTGGACAAGACTATATAACTGGGCTTTAACCATGACTGGGACAAAGAATAAGGCTAGGGGCCAGGCCAAAACTGAGAAAAGGGGAACAAAAGTACAGGCTAAAGGTGGAGCAGAGAAGGAGGTTACAGGTGCAGTCAAACCAGTAGCCAAGAGCCGATCCAAAACAAAAGCCAAAGCAGGGTATAAAGCAGATGTAGTGGCAGAGACGAAGGTAGTATCTAAGAACAGGGTTGTCGCTGAGGTGAAGGAAGGGGCACTGTCAGAGCCTAAAGCTCCAGTGAAAGCAATAACAGGTATCAGTTCCAAGGCTGAGAATGGTGTTACCAGCTCCACATGTAAAGATAAGGCTGGTATTGATACCTGGTTCTGGGCTGGGGAAGAGGCCAATATCAATTCCTGGTTCTGGAAGGGAGAAGAGGCTGGTAATCATTCCAGTGCTAAAGATGAAAATAAAGCTCATATTGCTGCCCAGGTGTGTGCTGAGGAGTCGGAGTCTGTGGCTGGGGCCAGTTGTAAGTCTGTGTCAGGGGTTGATGAAGAGGAAGAAAATGTTATAGGGAACTGGTTTTGGGAAGGAGATGACACTAGTTTTGACCCTGAGCCCAAACCTGTGTACAGAATAGTTAGACCTCTGCCTGTGAATGAAATTAATCAAAAAAATAGACCCAAGGACTGGTCTGAGGTGACTATCTGGCCCAAAGCCCCTGCTGTAACACCAGCAGTGTTGGGATTTAGATCCCAGGTCCCAGCTGAGGCAAGGCCCTCCTCGTACGTTGTTGTTTCCTCAGCTGAAGAAAGTACCCATTCTTCTTCTTCTTCAGCAGCAGCAGCAGCAGCAGCAGCAGCCTGCTCTTCCAAGAACACGTGCTCAGGCTCACAGTCTATTCCTGAGTCCCCATTTGGTTCTGACCGTTGCATCCAAACCATAGATGAAATTAGACAGCAAATTAGGATCAGGGAAGCAAATGGGATTAAGCCGTTTGCTTGCCCTTGCAAAATGGAATGCTACTTAAATTCCGAGGAATTTGAAAAACTTGTAAGCATACTTAAGTCAACCACTGACCCTCTCATTCATAAAATAGCACAGATTGCAATGGGTATCTATAATGTTCATCCATTTGCTCAAGAATTCATTAACGAAGTGGGTGTAGTGACACTAATTGAAAGCTTGCTCAGTTTTCCTTCCCCCGAAAGGAGGAAAAAGACTGTAATTACTCTGAATCCTCTTTCTGGGGATGAAAGACAACGCAAGATTGAATTACATGTTAAGCATATGTGTAAGGAAACTGTGTCTTTCCCATTGAACTCACCTGGACAGCAAACTGGATTAAAGATACTTGGGCAACTGACTACTGATTCTGTCCATCACTATATTGTTGCTAGTTACTTTTCAGAGCTTCTCCAGTTGCTGTCTCAGGGAAATCGTAAAACCAGAAATCTTGTTTTGAAAGTACTTTTGAATATGTCTGAAAATCCAACTGCAGCCAGAGATTTGATCAATATGAAGGCATTGACAGCATTAAAACTCATCTTTAATCCGAAAGAGGCAAAAGCCAATCTTGTCAGTGCTGTGGCCATATTTATTAATATAAAGGAGCATATAAGAAAGGGCTCGATTGTAGTCGTTGATCACTTGAGTTACAATACACTTACAGACATTTTCCGTGAAGTTAAAGGGATTATTGAAGCAATGTAAAATGAGCCCAAAATGAAAGAACAGATTCTTAAAGGCTGTACATTTCCGAAGATGCTTGCATAATTTTTATTGTAGTGTACACATTAAACATTACACCTTCATCAGTGTACCTGTGAGACTTTAGCTCTGAGCTAGAACATTTTTTGTGTGTATCAAATGAATATTAATATCAGAAAATATTTGTTGATTTTCATGTTGTGTAGATGGGCATATTTAAAATTTTACTTAAAGTAAGCCAGTTCTTTAAGCTAAGCTTCACCATTAATACCTGCTTAGATCCATTTGTGGCTTCAAATGAAAAAAAAAAAGAAAATCTTCCATTTGTAAGCTAGTTACAGAAATAAGGTATATGAACACGAAACTAATAGTACCTATAGGTGTATTTGTGGTGTATTTGCGTGTGTGTGTTGTGTGTGTGTGTACCCTATCAGTACATTTTAGGAAGCAGGGGTTATTGTAAGGAATTTATATTTTTCTCCTATTCTAGATATATTAGAATTCAATCAAAATAACTGAATCTCAGACAAAATGTGATGTTCATTTACTTTTTAAATTTTTGTTATTCCATTTACAACTCTTAAATTGTTAGGCGGTTTCATTGTGTTAAAGTTAATTTACAGAAGAAAAGGGAGGTCGGCATGGGGAGAAGACATTAAGTGTTCTTTGTCAGACATTGTGTTGGCACTATATTTTGCAGGTTTTTTTCCTAAGATGTCACAATTCTTAACTACTCCAAATATCCATTATACATTTGGCTATAGTTGGCTGGAGATTGGGAGAAAAGTCTGAGGTGGATGTATGTATTTTGCTTAGCAGTACCTGGCAAATACTAGGTACTCAAACCTTTGTTGAACAAATAAGATGTAGATGTGGGTCATATAAGGAAGTAAAACACTGTATGTCCTACCTTTTTCTATCCATCTGTTATTTTTAGAGCTGAAATTGTTCTAAACATTATTTAACACCCTGCATTTAAAAGGTAGTTGATTTCCTTCTCCTACAAAATCATGCCTTTTTTTAGCACAATTTTGTGAATCACATGAAAGTCCAGAGAACTCCATCTTTTACTAGCAGACAAGCCCAGTTTGCATTTGTACTAGCTAAAACAGAATAAACGTAATTAGACAAATTTGGACCCATGAAGTTCCACCAATATAGCATAGGAAAGCAAGGAAAGAAGCTACTGTCTCAAAGTGCAAGATGATGATTCCTGGAAGTCTGTATAGCCCAGAAAGCATTTCAGGACTTTGGGGTAATAGATGAGGTTCTGAGATTCAGTAGGAATTATATATAACCCCTGGTCTGAGCTGTGAATGTCCTTTATATGTGAAACCATCAAGTATATGCTTTGAGATTTTCAGTTAAATTAAAACAAGATCATACTATAGATATTGTAACTTGTTTCCCTGCACACTAATCGTATATTGTGAACATCTTGCATGTAATTAATATGATTCTGTAAAATATTTTTGAATCACTTAATACTTTTCCTCTTGATATTTGTTATATAATGTAATCTTTCATTGCATATTCTCTTAAAATATATAGTAAGTATTAAGGTTTACTAGATGTACTCCCAAAGCTTCATGTGCTCATAGGTAGGGCTTTTGGGAGATGATTGGATTACAGGGGCACGATACTGTACTTACCAGTAGATTAGTCCATTGATGAGTTCATAGCTAAATGTGATGTTGAGGTGAAGTCTGGTCTAAGGAGGTGGGTCACTGGTTTGTAGCCTAGACGTGTGTGTCTCCCTCCTTTGATCTGTCTCTCTTCTTCCTGCCAGCCATACCTTTAGCTCCTTCTCCTCTGCCATGCTTCCCTGCCTTTAGCTGACTGTGGATTGAAATGTCTACAAACTGATCCAAAATAAACTTTTCCACCTTACAGATGTGAGTGTTGAGTATTGTGTCTCGTAACAAAAAAATAACTAAGACAATATGTATAAATTTTTTCTTTTGTAAAAATAGAACTATAATATTTAACAACGCACCTCTTCCTCTCATCTTTCTAATTTAGTGTTACACAGATCTATCAAATACTTCGTTTTTAATACTTTGTTTTGCACATTTTATATCCACTATATGACTTAAAGTTGAATTTTGTTTTGCCTTTTTGTTAATATAGCTTATTGAAATTATTAGTGAAATGATTGTATATTGATTTAAATTGAAGGTGTCCTAGCCAAACAAGCTATATTTGTAGTTCCTTGTTCACTCAAAGCAAAAGATTGTACCCTCTCCCAGGGTGAATCAGCTATTGGATACTTGCCCCAGGTTAGCTTGATGGGGTAGGTGCAAAGTCCTATACCGCCACAAGGAAAACACCTCACACTGTTATCTACAGGGTCAGAGACCATCCAAATGCTGTTTTACAGTTTGCGGGGAGGTACTGGTGATTGAGCGTAGGACATTAGGATTGAGCTACATCCCGAGCCATTTTTTTATATTTTTATTTTTGAGGCAGTCTCACTAAGTTACTGAGTTGTCCAAGCTGATCTCAAACTTGACATAGACCTACCTCAGCCTCCCAGCATGATGGGATCACAGAGCTGCACCACCACGCCAGGCTCACAGTGCTTTCTATTTAAGAGCTTTATGGAGATACAGTTGACATACCTTAACTGAAGAAACCATACAATTTGATAAGTTTTGACATGTATCTTGAACCATAAACACAAGCAAAGTGATGAATATATGCATCACCCCTGAAAGCTTCTTAATGCCCCTTCATAATTCCTCTCACTTGTCTCTGTGTCCCCATATCCTCTGGCAACTACTGATGTGATTTCTGATGACAGAACATTTTCACTTGCTGTAATTAAAGAATCATAGCACATACTCTTTTGGAAGACGGGCATCTGGCTTATTTCAAGGTAATTGAGTTTAATCCGCATTACGTCTCAATAATCCTTTTTTTTTTTTGCCAAGTAATAGTCTACTATATGACTTTACAATAGTTCCTTTCAACTGTTGGATAAAGATTTATGTTCAAATTTTGGTTATTACAAGTAAAGCCGCTATGAATTCACAAGTTTTTCTATGGATGTATACTTTATTCAAGATAAATAGTGGGATGGCTGGATCATATGGTAGGTATGTTTTCCAAAGTGGTGGTTCCATTTTTATATTCCTACAGCTGTGTATGAGTTATGATTTAATATTTTATGAAATTATTTATATTCAACAAAGAAGTCTGGCCTAGCTGCGAGTGTGCAGCCAGCTCTTGGATTTCAGGGGCTGCTTTGTTTATGGGTATTTTCAAATTTCTATTTATACTGCTGAGTATACTTCAAAAGAAATCCCCACTCAGTCTGTAGAACAGGAATGTCTGTTCATATACTTGCCAGTATTCAGTACAGTATTTTAAATTTTTGCTACTCTCACAGGCAAAACATCTGTTACAACAACATTTGTGGATATAAAAATTGAATAACACCTCTATATTCCATTGGGTTTCAGTCTATGCATGTGAGGACAGTGGACCTCATAACCTAATGAAGGTTGAAGAGAGTAGTATGTACACGTGTGTATCATTTTCCCTATTTTATTTTTGCTTCTTTCTTGTTGCCCTTATGTGATCTACAAATCGAGAAATTTACAAGTATCACCAGTCGACAGCAAGAAAAGTTTGGACACTTTCTGATATGTGAACTAGATTTAAAACAAAAATGAAGAGTGTAGCTATGCTGACACTGCGTTCCAGAGATGTGTTCCTGAACTGTGTACTGATGCATACTTAAGCAATAGCCAGTGAGTAAATTAGCAAGTGACAGATACATACAAGTACAGCTCAAACAGAATGGAAGTTACTAAAGAGACAACTTTTCAGTGAACAGAACTGTGTTTCAGTTACGTTTTTATGAAGATAGTTTATTTTGAGTTCTTTTGGTAAAAATGATTTGCCATTTTATTTTATTTTTTTATTTTTTTATTTTTTGGTTTTTCTCCGGTACCGGGAACCAAACTCACGACCTTGCGCTTGAGAGGCAGGTGCTTTGCCGCTGAGCTAAATCCCCAGCCCCCTGATTTGCCATTTTATAACATAAGCTTTGAAGAAGTTAAATCATAGAAGTCTTAAGTAGCATACAAATTTTGCTTTAATAGATTTGGGGTCATCTTACCTCTACACACCTACTTTTAGGCTAAACAATATACTATCCACTGTTAGGTCTTCTTAAAGAGGATCTGACCATTTCTCCCTAAAGGTACTATTTCCCTTTAAAGAGTAATTGTCAAAGTTTTGCTGAAGAAAAGAATTTCAGAAACTTGCAAAATGAAACAATGCCTTATTGTATATGTTGAACACTTAATTTAGCAAACTAAGCTTGGATGATTTCAGATTGTGCCACCCAAAATAAAACAAGGTATAAATGACGTAAGTAGAAATATTTTTCTTCTCATTGTTAGTCTTCATGTGGGAAGGGAAACCTCCCACTATCCCTCATTGTCCAATTAGGTCCTTTGTGGAAAGTTCTAAAATGTGTCACAAATGAACAAAATGTCAAATATGTTATCAGTAAGTGAAGGAAAGAGTTATGTAGGAGTTACGTAGGAAGTAATGTGTTTCCACCTGCTTAGCTTTGAACTGTGAAAGCAATATTCTCTGCTTATAATGGGATCCCATTTTAATGTAAAATTGCATTGGAAAGAGTGGGCTGTAGTGTGCCCATGCTTCATTATGTGACTTTCATGTGTTGCTCTATTTTCATTTAGTGACACAAAACATTCATCTCTGTATATCCAGAAAATATGACTGTGTAATATGAGATTGACTGCATTCCTTAACAAACACCAAAAGGTAAATGTGTGTGAAAACTGGCTCCTGTGGAAAGCCATACACTGAAGTTCAAGGGGAGGCAGAGTGAATTTGACCTGTGTACTACCTTTAATAAAAGCAGCTTAGCTTTGGGGTTCTGTGTAAGGCTGTGTTCAGAAAAAAAGATTTCCTGAGTTAAAAATTAGTGTGGCTGCTTAATATATATGGATATATATGAAATCATCTTTCAAAATAATCTGGTATCTAATGATTGAATTTCCTTTCTACATATTCCTAACACTAACAGTATTATTGTCTATCGAGGGTTTTTCAGTTGGGAAATCTATTCACATTACCCAAAAGATTCCACAGTGTTCAGGATTCACATAATTTACTGAAGACTGGAGACTAGCTAATACTCTCTATTATGTGGCTTGAGAATTCACATAAATTCTGTTTTTGATGAAATGTGTCATACACTGTAGGCCAGAGTGAATACAAGTCCCAAATTCATTTTCTTTAATTGTGATGCTAAGGTTCTCCTTTGCCTTTTGGGGGCCAAAATCATATTCTACACTGTAGAGTACTCATCTGTGCAATTGTCCCTCTTGAAAAACTTCTGGAAATAGAATTTCTAGATCTCAGGAAAACAATTTTCATTGTTGGTGAAAGTGTAGAATAATGATGCGCTGGTCAAATTGGAATCACTTGGAGAGATTTTAGAAGATACTAATGCCCAAGGTTGTGTCTCCACAGATGCTATGTTCCTCTGGGGAGGAACTTGAACCTTGATAATATTTACAAAGCGCCTTATGTTCTAATGTGTAGCCAAATCTTCACTGTTGCAGAGAATCAGCCAATCTCAAAATCTATTGGAGGTAAAGGAGGGTACTTTGATACAACCTCTTTTAATGGTCATTTGCCAGTACCTACTAAAATGTATTTTTTCCTTTTTATTTTATTGGTACATTTTAGATAGACATAGTGACAACATTCATCGTACGGAATTTGTACTTGTACAAGATATATCTTGCTTCTTTTTTCCCATTCCCCACTCTTCATCCCCACTTCCCCTCTTCATTTACAAAACCTTCGCTTCTAGTTTTTCCTTGTCCCTTCTTTCCTAGC